CGCCCCTGAGCACTCCTCCTCACCGGCGTGACTGATGTACCTCCATAGAAAGGCCTGCACTCGGGCGCCTGCCTTCGTCCCCCATCTCCTTCTTCACCCTTTGGGCGGCGCCTGTCGGCCCGTCTTGCTGCTAGTGCCTCCTCCAACACTATAACTTTCTGCACCCTACGATCCAAATCTTCCGTAGACACTACATCCCTTTTAGCTAGCGCCCGATAAAGCTCCTCACTTGTGGTGCACTCTTCGAGGAGGACCCCGAGCACCGGGGGTTGCACGTCTCTTACTGCCATGGCCACCGGGATCCACCGCTCATAGAACTCCCTCAAAGTTTCCCCCTCCTTCTGCTTGATCTTGAACAGGGAGCCTACGGTCAGTGTGCGCCTCTTTCTACTTGCAAATTTTGCCAGGAACATCGCCGCAAATTGCTCAAAGCATTCTATGCGCCCCTCCTCGATCTGATGGTACCAATCTAGTACCACGCCTGAGAACGTTGAGGGGAACACCTTGCATAAAGTTGCGTCCGAACTGTTGTACAACTGCATTTTGGTGAAGTAGCTGTTAAGGTGGTCGTCCGGGTCCGCCGTACCATCATAGGTGGGAAGTGGTGGAATGTTGGTACTGGCGGGCTCCATGAGCACGCTCCTGGCCAACGGCTGCCTTACCACAAACTGTCGAGGCGGGCGCCCCTGCATCCACACATTCCTCTCTCCCTCGGAATCTCCGTAGTCGGCCAGGCGCCTCATGCTGGCTAGGCGCCTAAGTGAGCTGGACTCCCCTTCAGCCTCCATCGTACGCTCCCTCTTCCTTGTCCCGGGGCTTGGGGCACCCTCTTTCAACATTTCTACCTCTCTCCTCAACATCCCGATGGCCTCATCCTGATCGGCTATGATCTTGAACAGTTCCTTCTTAGTCACCGAGGCTCCATCCGAACCCGGGCGCGGGCCTTCACTTCCCTCATCCTCCCCCATGCTAGGCGTTCGTCCTCCTGCCTCTTGAGACGCCTCCCCCATGACTTGCTCCTCAATCTCACTTCCACCCTCTTCCATTGGAACTAGGCGCACCTCTGGTTGCGTTCAGCCCCTTCCTGGCGCGCCAATTGTTGATGCCCGCTTGATCTTCCAACTTCCCTTCCGTACCAGCCCACTCCTTCGCGGTTAAGCCTGCACTCACAGAGGTGGGCCTTGTGGCCCGTTAGTCCTCCAACGCTCAAGTCAGTATCTTTCTTAGTGAGAGAAGTGCTTACTGTGCACTATTTTAGTGAGAGAAGCCAAATTCAGTAAATGCTTACCAACCTCACTATTTATAGCCGATCATTGCTTACCTGGACCTTCCTGTACGGATTTCCACGTCACCCTTGCATTTAATGCGAGTGATTCCGGGCGCTCCCTTCGAAGGTGATTCCGGGCGCCCTCCTTAGGTGCGCACAACTCACAAGCGCACCCTAGGCGCCTAACGTGCGAGTACTCCTACCACTCCGGGCGCTCAGGTCAACTTGCTCTTCCGATCTAAACCCATGGGCGCCAATCACGGCCCACTCCGTTTCCCTAGGCCCACTCCAGAGTCTTGAGTGAGCTCAGCTTTCCTCAGACTATTTGGACTTCATGCTTCTTAATGGGCCTCACCCACATGTTGAGGTCTTCTCATTCGAACACCCCCAACAGGATCAATTCAAAATACCTCAGGCAGATTGATCCATCCAAATTTTTTGCTGGCAAACAAGACAATTTGGTACAATTATCTCAAAACGAAACAATTATGTCAAATTAACCAATTACAATTCCTCATCCAAACGACCTCAGAGGCTTTCTGCGATAGCGTTGTTTGGGGTGGTGGTGGGGGGAAACGGACGGATAGAAGAAGGGTCAGACTTTGGTGATTGGAAGATGGCCAACGCCCAGCAGGAGAAAGTGGCAACCTCCCATCTTGGCTGTCATCTCTTCTCCTCTGCACCTCTCTTTTAGTCTTAACCTCCACACAACCGAGAATCACCCTAGCTGGTTAGTTAAGCACAACCGTTGGCCTTCCAGTTTCGAAAGGAGAGATACAAAAGATTATCCTTCAGTACGAATTTCACAGCAGGAGAGAGAAAGATAGAGATAGAGATGATGATGATGATGAATATAGAACGACTGGTATGAAGTACGAGTCAAGTACGTTATTAAATTTGATTTCGGAACCTGTACTTAAACAATATTTGAGTTAGATTGTCGAAAACAAAGAAAAAGAAATTCGATTGAGTTGAGATACAAATGCTCATTTGTTCTTTATTTGCTAGCTGTATCTTGTACTAATTTGATCTTATTTAAAACGGGACAGGAGAATGTTCCCTGAGCAATAAGCCAATAACACGCAGAAGTAAGGGCTGCATCTTCCCCCTTTTGCAATTGTGGTAACTATGAACGTTAAGGAGATTAGAGTAGGGGTGGAAGTTTGTTTTGCGGTTCGTAGATATCCCAAAATCGCATCAAATCACATATATTGTGGTTAATCACAACTATAATTTGTGGCACAGGCGTGGTGTTTGGGATGTGCCACGGGACACGGGTAAGTTTTGGTAAAAAAAATTAATGCATTCCTATATGTATTTATGGAAGGGATCAAATATTCAAATTCATCGCGTTGATGTAGTATTAAAAGTATTTTTACCACAGACAATAAAACTCAATTTTTTTTGTTTGATTAATATAAAATTATACGCTGTAAATGAAATATTCAATTGAAGTAAATCTCTAATTGGATTCTTTTTTCTCAATTACCCTATTCAATTTTGTCCAACAACTATGAAGTCTGAAGCAGAAGCCTGCTATCGGCTAGTTTTCATTCAATTTTAATTATTAAATATTATTTTTGGTAATTTATTAAATATTTATTTATATTAGCCATTGGATTTTAAGTTTAGTTATTAAATATTTATTTATATATTTATATTTTGAAAAAGTGACACACCTAGTTGCACAACCTGGCTCGGCCACTATTTGTAGGTAGTATGGTTAGCAAAGTTTTAATTTTAACCCATAAAACACACTATAATCACATTAGTCTAACAAAATTTTGATTTACATTAATTCCTTTATACTTATTGATAGCGTTTATAATATAAAGAGCAAGGACTAATTTCATAAAACACTAAAATAACTCGCTCTCAAAATTAAAACTCATAGCTCGTGTTCGTGGAATTAATTTGTGTTTTGCAAAGCAAAATCTTTCGTCTCCTTCTTTTTTTTGACAAAAATTTCGAATAACAAACTCGAGTAGAAAAAAAAACTCATGCTTAGTAAGATATGCAAAATTTCATCTCAATGGACAACACGACATTATATCAATACTATAATCTATTTATAAATATCAAACTCATTAACGGCGGCCACAACTCCAACCTTGAAAAGATAAATTTTTGCGGGTGATTACAACCATCCCATACCACACCACAGTGAGGACTGGGGAGTAGTTAGTAGTTACCCACCCACTAACCGCTATAGTACGATTTGTGATTAGTATAATTATAACTTTATGAATGTGATTAAACACAAAATACGAGGTAAGTCAACCCGCACTAATTTCCATCCCTAGATTACATACTTATCTTGTTTTGGTAGGCCGACATATTCACCAATTTCACACCGTTCGGTCCTCACCCAAAAACACATCAAGAAAGCCCATCAATATTGGGCTTTTACACACCAATTATCATATATCTTATTATTATTATTAATATTATTATTATTATTATTATTATCCTTTCTTCAAATGCTGAGTTGACCGTTCAATCATCCCAATTCCCACCGTTTATAGTCGTCCAAACTTTCACGTGTTGAGATCATAGCGGCTTCAAATCGAAACCCTGAAACATTTCCTTCTTGTCTAGCATTTTATATTAAGAAATTATATTCTTAGCTTATAAAAGAGCCTATTTTCGCTGACTAATTAGGCCCATAATCTTAAATCTTAAAATATATTAAAGCGCTTTTAGAAAAGCGCCTCTGCCACGTACGCCTTTAAGCGCAGCCCGTAATTCTCGGAATTTTGTATATTTTTTAACTTTTAAGGGCTGCAATTTGTAGGCGGTGGTTATCCATTTTTTTCTGTTCAATTTTTCAGACGTGTTTTGTTTTTATTAAGAATGAGGTGTATTTTCTTTTTCTAAAGTGTACTTTTTATTCTACCAAAAGCTCTCCCTAATGTATTGAATTTAGATATAACTTATAAGTATAACAAAATCCCTTTCCTTTAGAAAAGAGTACATCAACGATAAAGTATCTTAACCATAAAAACATAGCAAAATTTCATTTCAAATGAATAAAAATTAATATCTTTATCAGAATCTCAATTTAAATTAATTTAATACAATTATAAATTCATTGTCATATGATATTTAGTTTATACTCACCCTAAATTCACAATATATATATGGTGCCTTCTACGGTACCCCGGGTAAAATCCGGCGTACCGCATACCCAGGATGATCTTTCACCGTACGTGTGATCTCAACGGCTCTTGATTTTTCGTCGTTAAATAACTTATTAATTATAACAATAATTACCAAAACCCTCTTACAAGATATAAATGTTTGCAATTTAGTCTAATTAATTGGTTTGGGTGGGTGAAGTGATTTTTTGGATTGATCTTTTGATTCAATTAACCAACCCCAATACCCAACCAAACCCACGTCCCTAGAGAACTAAAGGACACCCTCCATCCACAGACCATCCCGAATTCCCTCTTCTTCTTCTTCTTCTTCCTCTTCCTTCTTCGTCCCGACTGTCCCTCCACCTTCATATTGATTCCGCCCAGATCATCCTCTCCTCCACGATCCTCCCCGAAACCCTAATTCTACCCAACCGCCTCAAGAGCTTCGAGTCCAGCGTCGGCCTCGGCTGGAAGGCATTTCCATCCTGAATTCCCTCCGTCGTGGCTCCCGCTCCTCCCACTTCCACTCCCAACAGGAAGTGATCCTCTCCATCCTCTCCTACGGCGGCGAATGAATCCACTACTTCTTCGAGCTGGCTGTCCAATCGGGTGTAATCGACGGGAGGCACGCCAAGAGGTTGGGGGAAATCAGCGCCTGGGCGGAATTCGGAGGATACAGTGCGAGCCTCTCGTTTAAAGTTAGGAATTTGAACGAATTGAAAGGGGACATAGTCGCGCTGTCGTCGACGTTCGAGATCGCGCACTGGAGAGGAAATGGGTGCGGCAATGAAATTGAAACGAAGATGGTGATGAAGAAGCTTTTGATCGTTCGGGATTCGCCGGTTTATGGCATTGGCGGCTATTAGGGAGGGACGAGTAAAAGAAGATCTCGTCGTCGTTGTTTACTCCATCGAAGCTATATCGTTTGAGTCGATTCCTTCTTCTTTTCCGGTGAGAATTTCTCTGACCCTCTCTCTCAAAAAGGGTTTCCCCCAGCTCCATTCAAGTGAAAACCGCTGCTTCTTTTGAATCATTCCCAATCGGAGAATCGTCCCTCCGCCGGCGGCTAATCAGTTAGATAATCTATTTAGCTTTCTGGGTACATGCCCAATGCAATCGAGCTCGACGCCGAGGGAATTTACCGAAACCATTTTAGTTTGTGGCGATGCGTTGAGTGTTGATTTGCTATGCTGTTGATCTTATCGAACTGGAGCAGTCTTGTGTTATAATTGCTTGAGTAATCATAATTTCATATAGCCGATTGGCGAGTCCAGTGGTAATTGATAGTGGGTCTCATTCAGCTTTGTGTTATTGATATTGTATCATTCTTCTTATGAGCCACTGTTCAGGTGGATTCTCTTTTGTTTCTTTTTTACCCCTTTTAGGTTCAACAACCTTTGTTGTACGTCTCTAATAATTTTCTTTGTGTTTCCAATTGCTAGTTGTTCTTTTCTGTTGGCTGCTTAAGGAAGCCATTTGATGTTATGTTTCATTCTCTTCTAAGAATATCATGCTCTTGTTTTTCTTGTGCAGTCAGATGTGTTCAAGTGATGGAAACCCGGGGGGAAGTGGTTCTTGGAATTTGCAAGGGCTATTAGGTTCACATCCTACCTTCCATAAGGTGCTGTGAAACTGCAGTTAGTTAGTGGAGTCAATTTTGTATTCTTTGATTCAATATTGGATGGCAATCTTCCTTATACCTAAGAAGGTGCTCAAAAGTATACAGAAAATCTGCTCTGATTTTGTCTGGCATGGTGATAAGTCGGGCAGAGCCAAAGTTGCTTGGGATTATCTGGCTATACCGAAGAAAGAAGGGGGGTTGGGATTGAAGGATTTTCTTTCCTGGAATGTAGCATCTCTGGCTCATCTTATATGGTTGCTCCTTATTCAGGGGGCAGCTTTTGGGTAGCCTGGATTTATCGTTATAGACTCAGGGGAGTCTCAATTTGGGAAGCAATACTTACATCATCAGGCTCCTGGATCTGGAAGCAAATTCTAAAAACCAGACCATGGTTGAGATTTAGAATGGATGTGGCTTTGGACTGTGTTACATGGCAGGGTAAGAGGTTGGACAAATTTTCAGTCTTGGCTGTTTGGGACACTATCAGAAGGAGGCAGCCTCGAGTCAGTTGGTGGAAAGTCATTTGGAACAAGCATGTCTTGCCTCGAAACAGTGTGCAGGTTTGGTTGATTATCATTGATAGAATTGATACAAGAGATAAGGTCAAAAGGTGGGGTGTTATCAATGATAGTACCTGTGTGCTTTGTGGAGCAACAAAGGAGTCTCGTAGTCATCTGTTTTTTCAGTGTGTTTATATGCAGGAAGTTGTTTTTACTCTGATGTGCGATGGAGTTGTGTTTCCAGGGAGTTGGCCCTACCTGCTAGAGACTATTGAAGCCCGAGTTCTAAAGTATGGGAGTTGTGGGGAGATTGAAGCGTATTGTCTGGTGCTGGTGCATTTGTGTTGTGTGGAAAAGAGAGGTTCTTTTTTTCATTTCTAAGATAGGGTTTACTTGCCACCATTTTATACATTGTATTGTTAGGACAAAATAAAATTCTTAGCTGATTGATCCAATGATGGTTTCATAAATTACGCCTGGAGAAATTCTCTATACTGAAAACTCAATTGAAAGTTGAAACTGAGGGTTATTAGCAGCTTGGTTGGATTGGATTGTCCTATATCAGGTTTATTTGATGCACGGTGTTGGTAAACTCAAATAGTTTCTCCAAATAGCATTGCATGCTATCAATCTTAAGCTTATGATTAGATCATACAAGTCAACATTGGGTCGAATCAGAGTGAGTTAAGTAGAGGGGAGTACTCATGCTCGTCTTGCCCCATCTACAGACTAGACAATATCTGTTTCGAAACAGGTCGAAAAGATTAAATAGGACGAGTTCGATTCGAAATTGTCAATCTAACATTCACCTCACAAATGCAATGTATCACTATCACAAAAATCCGCAACAAGTGAAAATGTAATTTCAAACATTGTCAATCTGCCAATGCAAGGAACTGTCTCCAAACAATACCATAAACAAGTTCAAAATTTAGGATAAAAGGAAATGAATGATGAAAATCTAGAGCACACTAGGTATCTCTTAACCCCTTGTTTGCCTTCTTATTGCTTGCTTCTTCGTATTCAAGTGTCTGAGCTTTAAACCTTGGCGCATTTGCAATTGCTTTCTTGAGGACTTTGTGCCTTATGTAATTTGTTGGCTCTTTGACAAGGTACAGAGCCACCTGCATTCTCCTCCAATCATCACAAGGCTGTATGAACAACAGATATAATGTATTAGTAAACTTTGTTCTACATAGACATTTTTGTAATGTACCATACAAAGAGGTCGTCTAGGCGGAATGTGATTTCTTACCCAAATGCCATAGTGAGAATCCCAGGCTGCACCCATCATCCAGACGCACACCCAAATCCCACTATCATTCCTATGTAAGAAGATACATTATGTAAGTAAGCTAAAAGTTAATTTTATATTCAAATGATGCTAGAAAAAAACACATTCATACTTGTGATGTTGTTCTGCAAGTGAAGGAGTTGACCAAGAAAAGTCCTTAATCTTTGGTGCTGCATATAGGGTTTTCACTTCCTTATGCAAAGCCTTGAACAATTCGTTCATAAATTCAATCTGCAAAAGTTACAAACAAGAATACGTAATTTATTGGGCAAATATAATATTTGGTTTTAGGCGAAAAGTCTAAAGATACCATTGTTTCCACCGCACTCATACGGACTGTTTTCCGCTCCTGAGATGGAAACGAATCCAGGATTTGGACTTGTTTCTTGTCCACTAAAATAATAGCTAAAAACCAATGAATTCCTCCATCATCCATAGTATCTTGCATGGGCAGACACACCTACACATATACGAGAAATCACACAATCAGCTTACTAAATTGAGGACACGATAATATGCGTGGCGTGGGAAGTCATGACCTTTCTGCAGTTTAGAGCTTTTGAAAGGAATTTTGTATGGAATGCCTCTAATGCAATAGTAGGTGTCATGCCACAATTCATGACAAGGTCCTGTTCGTAGAAAAAATTAAAGAATTCAACATTGAGCTTGCTTAATAAAGTAACCAAGTATGCTTAACTAGAATAGAATTACAAGGTAAAATCGATATATACCTGGAATTCTGTAGGCAGAAAGCACACCCGTTTTCCACGATCAGCATCCCTCCAAAGTTCGTCAAGGGTCAAGTGGCAAGCTAATGCTGTAATTACCTAATGCGCCACAGAACATAAACACAGAATATATAAACACTATAGTTCAAAAAGTGAAACAAATTACCAATTAGTAGTATAATAGGAGAACTTACATCGGCATGGACACATGAGTCAGGGCATAAGCTCCACAATGTCTTCCGGCTATAAACTTCCATCATAGTTTGGACCAAGGGTTCGTCAGGTGGAAGATCTTCAGCAAAGATATAGTGAGCAAGCTTCACATCTTCCTCACTGTAGCTTACGGTTTGAGGGAGCTTAAACCTGGTGGTACCCTACAATGATGGGTAACGACATTAGTTGACAGCAATGTGTGTCAAGTTATCATGATATGCCCACTATTGCTCATAAGCCAAAAATTGCTCGAGACTGCAGTAATGTAATATATAGAACTGGACGCCAATGTGGAAGGGCTTTTTCAATTACTTAAATCAACACTGATTATACTCTTCATACATGAAATGGAGGGATGATTGAACCGAAAATGGAATCCTTCAAGGCAAACCAATAGCAATGCTTGTAACTCAAGATACAGAGAAGCAGGATCTGCCCTTTTTATATGAAACAATGGACAAATAAATGCGAGCGTTTACTATAACTAAGCTTGCAATAAACATCAAACTTGAGACAAAATATGAAGGTACTTAGAAGAATATCATGTGATGGGGATTGGGGAAAAGAAGGCATAATCAAATTCAAAGATACAGGCATGGCTACTGAAATGCATGATCCAAATCTTTTTAATTAGAAAATGTAGATACAAACAGTTAAAAAGCATAAACATAATTATAAGAAGTATCTAGTTGTAGCCTTGTATCAACCAACAATTAATTCACAGAGATAATGATCCTAAGAACTGAAGAAGTTAAAATGTTGACATGAGTAGTTGAATTCACATCCCAAAAAATATAATTATCCTCGTGAGGCAAGTCCATTAGTGAGGCAGTAACAGAAAATCATACAGAGGCAGGTAGGCTGAAATAAAGAATAACTGAAAGGACATTTGATAGCGGTATAAGCAAGCAATTTGAGATGGAAATCTATAGATCTAACAGGAGTAAAAAATAGTGGGATGTGAATTCAACAGGCTTTGATATGCACCTTCAATTCCCCCAATATACCTCGTTTGCTCAACAGGGAACCTATCACCATCAGCATTGCAAGTAAACTTGCACAACAACCAAAGTGATTGCTAGAAACATATAATAGTATCCAGTAAGGCCAATTAAACAGCAGATCTACTAAGTGGCATTCAAATGAAACTCAAGCCATTCAATACTGAGAAAGTTCAGTATGCATACATCACCAGCTGAAACAAAAACAGAACAAACAAAGCTTTTGAAGCAATTTAGCTGTTGACCTAACCTCTCCCACTGATTTTAAGAGAGTTAAGAATCCTGGTGTGCTTTTCTAATCCTCCATCTCATCAAACCCCAAACTCAACTCTCATATATGGCAGTAGGATTCAAGTAAGGATTAAACCAACCACATATAGAGAGATCCTATGAAGACATGCGGAACCATCAAACCCCAAACATAATATAGACATCACGAAGAGGGAATCATGGAGTGAAACTGCCAGGTTTAAGTTATCTAGTTTACTTTGGATTACCATACCTTCGTCGACAATTGTTGTGCTGGAAAATTGCTTTTGTTTCCCACATCTTTCTCGTAATGGTCAACTCCAGATTCACCGTCAAGAACAATCACATTCGAGCACGGCGTCCTTGGGGGGGTCACATCATCTCCCAGTTTAGTTTTCTTCGCGGGCGATACATAGTTCAAAGCCTTTGATGCAGAACGCGTTAGCCGTGTAGTCCACTGGCCGCGAGAAATATTGTTGGGCATATTGATCTCCTCCCTAATATCATTGTATAAAAAATCAACATGTGGACGAGGAGAACAAAAACACCAAAATCACATAACATAAGTTAAAAGTAATTACAAAGAGTATTGAAGAACTATACCCTTCCTTCCCCATGATGTTATAAACGCAAATGACTTGTGCTAACTTTCGAATGGAACAGGGGGTTTGTGATTTAATTAAGTGCTTAGGCAGAGGTATTGGCTGTCATTCGAATGGTGTGGTTCAATAGCCGAGACATAGGGGCTTTTTAACCCCTCTCTCTCTCTCTCTTTAGGAATAAAGTAGAAGCGTAGAAGTTCATTGTGGCAAGTCTTATTCGGACTCAGGGAACTTCTACATTTATCCCCTCATTTAATGAAACATAATAAGAGAAGTTGTTATGAACATGGAAACTACATTTATCCCTTCTGCTCATTGTTGACAGCCTGATAGCTCACGGTAAGATAAGCAGGGAGGAGGGTAAGGGGTGGATGTTGGATGTCCGTCGCAGCTTAGAGTCCCCCCATGGCTTCGGTTTGATGCAGTGACGAGTGTTGGTTGGTTAGGGAGGGCTGTTTGATCCGTTGGATTGATTTGTGATTTGTTTTTTGTTCTATCTGCTGTTTTCGCCTTTGTTCTTTGTGGCTGGGTTTTGGTCTTCCCCTAGCAGAGCTTTCGTTTTTCGTTTGTTCCATGTTTGCTGCACCTCTTGTGCAGCAAGTTGTATAAGACTCTGTTTCATTTCTCAGTTTTTCTTTAATGCATTCCTCACCTTCATCAAAAAAACTAGTCGACTTTCGTCTGTGAATTGATTATGTTCTCTGACTATTTTTTTTTTTTTATGAAGGTGAATAGATTATTTTCTCTGACTATGTATACGGACCTCGGTCTGGGTTTGACTAATGTTAAAAAAAAAGAGTATCGGATTGACAAATCTATTTAATTAAAAAGAAAAGGAAGGAGAAAAATTGTGGCCAGTTTATTTCTAATGCGGGAAGCCTTATTACAAAACTGAACAAAGAAGGGCTCGGGAAAACGGTTACAGAGGAAAATATTTAAAAAATTTAAAAATTAAAATTCGGATGACCGAGAGTTGCGGAGAATGCTTGAGGGCTGACAATATATTGTAAGATCCCTAGAGGCGTAGGGAAATCAATACTTGTTAGCTGCGATTTTCAGAGTTGCACAAATCATCTCACGAACATGGCAGAGGAGGAAACTAATCCAAACGATGCCAATGATGCTAATAATCGTCACACCGAGGAGGACATGGCAGCGGATGAACCTCATCCAAACGATGACAACAATTCTTCTAATCCTAACACCGAGTACATGGCAGCGCAGGGAACTCCTCCAAACGGGGATACTAGTTCAAATTTAGAGGAAGATGATTTTGCCAATCTACTACTTCTACAGACAGAAGATATTATGAAACTCAGATTCAAAGATCTAGATGAAGCATATGATTTTTGGAAGGCAATAAGTGATGGTTTACTGAGTAAGACCGAATCAAAACCTGATAGTCGTGGAATTGTGTTTTTTGTGAAAGGAGTCAGAGGGGAAGGTGCCAGGAGAGGAAGAAATGGCTGAGGAGCTGCATTAGGAGATAACTCTGGGAGCAAAGGTTCCATGGAATTGCATCCTTCAAAACCTACAGTAGCCATGATCACAAACTCTCATGTCAGGACAAATTCAAGCCTATTTACGATTTGGCCATCGAATAACGAAATGAACAGACAATTAATTAGTAGAAACAAGGTTCCATAAACTGGATCGTTCTCCCCAAAAGCAGAACATTATCCATGCCTTCCATTAAAAGATTCCAATCTAAGTGGTGAACAAAGAATGAACTAGACACCAGTGATCAAAGTATTCAACTTTAACTTCTATTATTGCAACACATCGCCAAAACGGCTCCGAAATTATCAGGCTTTTGACAAGTTGATTTCATTACAGAAGTCAAAACCCCAAACCTACTTAAACCCTTCTGCCAAAAGCAAATTCTCAACTCTAAGCAGCTAAATTAACAACAAGTGTAAGGAAAGCAAATTAAACAATGCAAGGTACAATCTTTACGAGGAAAAAGGTCAGCTTCTAAATTTGCAGGAAAATTCCATCAAAACCCCAGCCAAACATAAAGCTAAGCATACCCATCTAACCACAGCTGCAACGCCAGTCCATGAAAACTCATAGATCGGGCTAACTAGCAAGAACCCACATTACAACTCAATAAATTAAAGCTGGGAACTCACTCAGAAGCAGCAGAAGAAGAAGGACAATGGCGAAAGTATGCCTGCTCAGAGAAACTCCCCCATCCATAGCTCCCTCAATGGCGAGAAGGTGCAGCTGTTCCGAGCCATGGGCTATGTACCGGCAGCCAGGGCGACGCCGTCGGAGTCGAAAGACGGCGACGGAGAGCTTATATTGGAGTTAAGGCTTGAGGGATTGATGAAGAAGGAGCGACGGAGGGGATTGGTTGACGCCTTGGCCGTGCATGTTCCTAACACGATTGCAATCCGAACAACTTGCCAACCAAGATGAAATGAAATGAAATGAAATGAGAAACCAAAATCGTCAAGCTATAATGGAATCGAGAGAGCAGAGAGGGAAGAGCGAACAGGACCTTCTGGGCGAGTCCGAGCACGCGTTCCATCGCGGTTCTGTTTGGAGCTCCATCTTTGGATTGTCGTTTTTTTAGGGTAGGATTTGGGATTTTCGTGCTGGTTTCGTTAGCCTTTGCACTGGAACAATGGTGAGGAAGTGGGTGGATCTGAGGAAGACTGAAGTATGCGAATGAGGAAGGTAAAGTTACCCTCATTCTATTGTCCTGTACGACATCGTGTTCCATCCGGTCAAGCCTTTCCTTTTTTTCTTTATGGTTTAATTAGCCTTTCCTATTTCAAAGCTGCATAAATTAATAAATTCATGATTTGGTGGGAAAATCTTTTTATTTGGTTCAAGATTTGGGAAAATCCTAAACAAATAAATGGCGGGATAGGGGATTGAAAATTTATATTCATTGTTTCTTTATTTTTTTTCAAATTCTAAACCTATGTCCTCAATTTAAGTATCTAGAAAATTGTTTAAAGTTACCGCTCATATAAATGAGGTTCTTTTTCGTATAAGTTCATTAGATTAATTGTAACATCCCGTTCCGGCAAAACCCATATTTCGATCGTTAGAAAGTTCGCGATTTAAAATCGAGCATTTCGACACTATTTCGACGAAAATCGGATTATCAATCGATCGGATAAGTATACGTATTAATTATATATATATATATATATATATATATACTCCGGTCCATTTAATTCCCTCCCCGTCTCATTACTTTTCCAGAAACCCTTTTCCCCTTCCTTTTCCATTTCCGGACCGCGAGCAGAGCAGGAACAGGGGAGAGCTCGGTAAAAATTCCAGAGCTCAATTCTTGAGCATAAGTGATCCAAAAATCCCGTAAGTAATGCCTAATTCATCTATACATCGTGATTTATCAATTTAGAGTTTTAAAACGAGTTTTTGGTTCAGGAATTTCTTAAATTCCCGATAAGCCAAATTAGGGTTTCGGAGTATCCGGAAGCCGGATTGAGCCCAAATTTCATATACGAGCTTCCTGCAGCGAGGTAATCAATCCTCTAGTTCTAATCCGTGAATTTCGGCTATTATTTAGGTCGGGGTCCAAACCGCTGAATTTAGCTCCGGCCAGGGTTTGATGTGTTTTTATCAAGAATTTGACCCGGAGCCTAGAACTAATATTGACGGGGATACTGCAGGGGATATTAGGACGGTCTCGGATTTTAATTCGGGGTTCTTTCGTGAAATTGACATTTTAGTACGGGAGGCTAGAACCGGTGTTTGAACGACCAGAACTGGTGAGGGATTAGCACGGCATACCGGGTTTGTCGTATCACGATAATTATATTGATGCTTAGAATTGACCTAGGTGAACTAGAATGGCATGATTAGGGGTGTATGAACTTTTGTGCTATATGTTGAACCCTGGACTGTTGTATGATATAATTGACTTGCCCTAATTGATATGGACATTGTTTATGCTGATGATTTCATACATGTTACCATTTGTGGCTTAACTGTTGATATGACTTCCTACTTGTTCGATAAGGTGTTTTGACATGATGTGATATTATGGTTGTATTTGGATCCATAAGTGGGGGAATAAACTTCCCAGGGTGATATTATGATGTTTAAGGAGGATGACTTGCACGAGGGTTTATCCCGAGGAAGTGCAATTATACGACTCCTGGTTATGTTGAGCCAATTGTGGTCAGGTCAAGAACATGTCCAAGTAATGAATTATGATTAAGCAAGATGAGATAAGGATCATGTGTAAGATTACCAAATAAGAGTGATTTGGTCTCATGGTCAATTACATAGTAAATAGGGCTCCCCATGCTATTACTCCGTTATGATATGTTATGTCACACTACTGATGTGGTGCTGACCGTTGATTCATCATGAGATATGACCACACCCAGAGTGGTGTTGAGTCCGATATGACCACACCCAGAGTGGTGTCAGGTCCGATATGACTACACCAGCAGTGGTGGGTCTGATATGACCACATCCACGAGATGTTTGGTCCGTATTCCCGGGAGAGTAATTAGCATGGGAGTAGCCAGGCGCCTATAATTAAAACATGATAAGACACATATGCATAAGTCAAGGTGGTTGAGTCTTTTGCCTATTGGGATGTCGGATAGCTGAGGTCTGATCCTAGTGCTTTGGCTTGATTGTTAGATGTATGGTAGGGGTATGCTGGTTATGAACTCACTATGCGATGATTGTCTCACTCAGCTATGAGCTGACTCTCTTTTGTTCTTTTCCTCTGCTTATGCTATGTGTAAGCAGATCATCAGCAGTAGCAGTAGCAAGTACTTAGGTGTGGGCAGAGCGAGGAGTTAAAGGCAGGATGAGGTATTGTCTTCAACTATTTTGTGCTTGGACTACTACTCGGGATTTTGGCCAGTGATCCACACCTTTTTATAAAATCTTTTGAGAACGTTTTTCATGTGCATACTAGCTTCTGATGTAGTGTGAGATATCCACAGATGTAGAAAGTTGATGATATGTGTATATGTTGTGTAACTGTGTAAGTTGTGATGATTATGGTATGTACAAGTATGGTATGAAGTTGTGGAGTATGAAAAGTGTGACTATGGCTAAGAAAAGCCAATGCATATGGTTGTGAGTATATATGTTTGTGAAGCATTATTTTGCAGGATAAGTTGCAAGAACTGTTAGCCCATTACGCGAGTAACTCATGTCAAAATTTTATTTGGGTAAATTTTGATAATTAATGTAACACCCGAGATTAATTCCGCTGCAATTGTATGAACAATATGATTAGGTAATACGTATAGGGTAGGGTGTTACAGCTTGGTATCAGAGCCGGTTTGTTTTTCTGCATTATGGGTATGTTACTTTCACTCTTGAGGACTGATCACCCTCGTAAGGGGAGGGAGTACTCCATACCTGTACTTGCACTTAACTTTCCAGGATTTGGACCAAAGGTGATGATGTGTTGCATAGTCAGTTGCATATGGTCAAACATGATTTTGAGTATTTCAAGGAATCTTGAACAAGTTATGGTTTAAAAGGTTTTGAAAATTTTATGGAGTTTTTATCTTGTTGTCCAACTAATGATTTTGGCAGAAATTTTTAATGGTGTGTGGATCAAACTAAGGCCAATGTTTCCTTGTAGTTTGCACAGAAGTACTTTCAGTGTTACTACTAACCGATCGACTGATCGAGAAACATGGTGGCTAACTATGCAATGCAGTTGAGTTAAGGTTGTGCTAACATGATGAGTTGTGATGGTAGATATTTGAATAGAGATATGAATCGGGATGATTTTGTGGTAACCATTTTGTAAGTTGATATAACCTTGTGTTAGTGGCAACCTACCTTGCAGGTTAATAACTTGGCTTAGTGAATTATGCTTTTGAACTGGTTGATGTGCTTTTGTTGTGATAGCCCAGTATAGGTTTTTGAAACCTTATATTGGGAACTTGAGATGTTATGTGTTACTTTCTATGTTATGAATCGCCTATCCTAAAAGTTAGGTAATGGTTTATCTACGATAGATCAGGTCAAGGGTAAGTAAGCGGACTAAGGGTACAACTCAAGGTTAGATTTCGGGGACGAAATATTTTAAGGAGGGGAGAATTGTAACATCCCGTTCCGGCAAAACCCATATTTCGATCGTTAGAAAGTTCGCGATTTAAAATCGAGCATTTCGACACTATTTCGACGAAAATCGGATTATCAATCGATCGGATAAGTATACGTATTAATTATATATATATATATATATATATATATATACTCCGGTCCATTTAATTCCCTCCCCGTCTCATTACTTTTCCAGAAACCCTTTTCCCCTTCCTTTTCCATTTCCGGACCGCGAGCAGAGCAGGAACAGGGGAGAGCTCGGTAAAAATTCCAGAGCTCAATTCTTGAGCATAAGTGATCCAAAAATCCCGTAAGTAATGCCTAATTCATCTATACATCGTGATTTATCAATTTAGAGTTTTAAAACGAGTTTTTGGTTCAGGAATTTCTTAAATTCCCGATAAGCCAAATTAGGGTTTCGGAGTATCCGGAAGCCGGATTGAGCCCAAATTTCATATACGAGCTTCCTGCAGCGAGGTAATCAATCCTCTAGTTCTAATCCGTGAATTTCGGCTATTATTTAGGTCGGGGTCCAAACCGCTGAATTTAGCTCCGGCCAGGGTTTGATGTGTTTTTATCAAGAATTTGACCCGGAGCCTAGAACTAATATTGACGGGGATACTGCAGGGGATATTAGGACGGTCTCGGATTTTAATTCGGGGTTCTTTCGTGAAATTGACATTTTAGTACGGGAGGCTAGAACCGGTGTTTGAACGACCAGAACTGGTGAGGGATTAGCACGGCATACCGGGTTTGTCGTATCACGATAATTATATTGATGCTTAGAATTGACCTAGGTGAACTAGAATGGCATGATTAGGGGTGTATGAACTTTTGTGCTATATGTTGAACCCTGGACTGTTGTATGATATAATTGACTTGCCCTAATTGATATGGACATTGTTTATGCTGATGATTTCATACATGTTACCATTTGTGGCTTAACTGTTGATATGACTTCCTACTTGTTCGATAAGGTGTTTTGACATGATGTGATATTATGGTTGTATTTGGATCCATAAGTGGGGGAATAAACTTCCCAGGGTGATATTATGATGTTTAAGGAGGATGACTTGCACGAGGGTTTATCCCGAGGAAGTGCAATTATACGACTCCTGGTTATGTTGAGCCAATTGTGGTCAGGTCAAGAACATGTCCAAGTAATGAATTATGATTAAGCAAGATGAGATAAGGATCATGTGTAAGATTACCAAATAAGAGTGATTTGGTCTCATGGTCAATTACATAGTAAATAGGGCTCCCCATGCTATTACTCCGTTATGATATGTTATGTCACACTACTGATGTGGTGCTGACCGTTGATTC